TCATGTTTCATTTCTGTTGCATCCAGTTCGGAAGAGTTTGAGTTTCATTTGTTTAGTTAAGATCACTGCTCACTCACTTATTATAAAGCTGGTATTTACTCACTAATTTTATTAGACGAATGTAAAGATGCAAAGTTCTTCTCTTTTAAGCCTGAGAGACAGTGAGACTTCATTTATTTCAAAATGATCCCAGACATTTTATCTAGAGTTTTTCATTTTGGCTTTAAAGTTTTGCAGCTGTTACTGATTTTAATTCGATGATATTCTTTATGTGCATTTTTTTTAAAACAACATAGGTTTTAAGTGATTTTTAAGTGGAAGTAAATTTGTATTTGTAACACTCTTAGGTTCACGATGAAATACTTGATTGTGTTAAATTAAATTGCTAGTTTCAGACTTATACCTTATACTGTTCCCAGTCTCTAAAGAAGTTGATTGACCCATCTTGTCTCCTCTGGATGACCGTCCACCCTCCCTGAGCTTGACTCTGTTCACACCAGGCCTGCAGGAGTCGGTTGGAACTCTGCGGCCGGAGCAAATAGATCCCACTGGTAGTTTCACCTGATTCCAACACATGCTGACAGTCCCGCCATGGCCCTGAGTGAAGGGAAAATACAAGCAAGGTGACTAATAAAAGCAACATGCAATTATAGTGATGTAATATTACAACATATAACATTTTTTAGTATTAAGTACGAACATGGAAGATATCTTTAAAGGTCTTTTATGGCTTTAAAAAAAATATAGGACACTGGAAAACACAACAGGAAGCTTCTAACAGAGGGTTTTGAAATTCAGTTTGGACATCAGGAAAATCACAGATCTTATTATTTCTCTTCCAGCACATATTCAGTGTCTCATGCCACACTGGTAAGATAGATACAGGAATGTGCACAAACAACAATGTATACAAAGAAGAGAGACTCCCACACCAAGTGATAAGCCCTAATGGTCTTTCATGACTTGAACTCTCTCTCTCTTTCTCATTACACACTGGAGGAAGTGTTGAGTCACACAGATGTTTCATCCTTTTGGGTTCTGCAGCTCATATTCTCTGGTTTGTAATTGCAAGTTCAAAAGGGAAGAGTTATAAAAAGTTCAAAAACTGTTCTGTGCATGTCTTCATTAGAAAGTGTTTTGTGCTGTGACAAGAGCTGCTGTTTTCAGAAGCTGAGGTTCCCAGGGTGGACAGATAATAGCAGGTCACTGACTCCAACAGCCACTAGTGCTTATCTAAGCAGTTAAATAAATCTGACAG